CTGAGCGGGCGTTAGAACTAGAACTTTCAGCGGCTGTAGCTCGCTAATCGCTCGCTGTGGAGTTGCGAGAGTGGGAGTCTCTAGCTTGGGGGCTGTACTACTTGCACAAGGAAGGACGACCATGTACTACTCGAGCGCGGGGGTTGTCTTTAAACACGCTTGAAAGCGCAGCAACGCGCTGCGTTTGGAATTGCAGTTGAGTCTGAATGCTGCTTTTGTGCTTGCTTGATGCTTGTCTCAAGTGCCATTGTGTCATTGTTTCTTGAAATTAAATTTCAGGAATTCGCTGATCGTATGACTAGGAATGACATCGGTCCGCACGCAAGTTTCGGAGGTGGAGATGTTCCACCAGTGGGAGACAACAGGTATTCTCTCATTTCTCGGAGCCTGCTGATTTTTTCATTAGTTGGTACTTTTCGGGACCTGCAGAAGATCTCACCACAGTGTTAAGTTTTGTGCCTTCACTTCCTACTTGTTCATTTATTTATTTCTTATTCATTGTACATCCGGGGTGCACTACCACGGAAAAGGCCGATAACTATCGTTAGTGCAAACATGATAAATACAAAAATAATTCGTGTAGAAGCGAAAGTTTAAAAAGTAAAAAAGGTATGGGAAAAATGTGGACTTTCAGAAATCAAAGCGTTGTGCTCGTTCATGGGCTTGCTGCCATGCGCAGGCACCCTCGAACCCCAGCGGCAATACCTTCTAAAGGCAGGTTTAGCTTCCAATATGTGAATTGTACACAAAGCATGTCTCAAAAAGTGGCACTACTTACCCTTTAGTGCCCCAGTCTCCGATAACCAATCCATAATTTTATCGAAAGAATCTTTACCAGTTGGGCAAGACTTTGCTCCCGGTTCGAATGTCCAAATGAAGCGAAAACGCCATACACCAGCGCTGGCGCCTGTAGCACACGTAGGCCTTTCACTGTGATTCTCGTGATCAAGCGTCAAAGTACACTCTGGGACAATTGTTCAACATATTGTCTCCCTAGTAAGGGTTCTGACACATGCACCTTGTGGCTTGAGTGCTTGGCGAGTTCGACCTGCCAATAGGTGATATTCATGCTCTGAGGGTGAGCACCTTTAGCTGGAGTAGCATACGGTAAGATACTGTATGCCACCACCCAGCGCATATCCCGAGGCCCGCCTGCGGCATGACCGCGCTTAATTGCAGCGCTGACTGTTGACCTCTCACTGGCTACTCAACGTAACGAGATGAATCGATTCGAATCCGTTTGATAATCGGATTTGATAAGTTAAAATCAGTAATTTCGTAATTCTATGAATATTGGGTTGAGGATAAATGTTCGCATCGAAGAGAAACGTGTTGAAATTTTTAAATGTTTCTGTTTTTAGGTGTTCATATACATCGAATGACCTTCCAAAGGCAAATTAATTCTTACAGGATGACCTTTCACACTTCAATTCTCTTATAGCCTCTTTCTGTTAACCTTGCTGCTACTGCTCCCACCTTATTGGAGGTCGCCTGAAAATATGTTTATATAGCTCGATGAGCACCTCGTCATAACACACCTCGTCATGTTTGTCGTCACGAGCATGCTTTCAGGTGCCTACTACACCGCGTCTTGTCATGACTTTTCTATGAACAGGTTCTACTCGACCCAGTTCCCTACATGCTTCTGCTGCTCTATCGCCGGCCCAATCACTCTACACGGATAGCTTCTACATTGCTCCTCCGCCGATGCATCATCTTCACACCAGTACCGTCCCAACCCTATCACCTGCATATTTCCTAACATCTACCCCATTCAGCCTGCCAGCGATGTCTACTACGGGACCGTGCATGCAATCACAACATCCATTCCTCCTCGGGAAATCACAGATTCCTGCACAGCGCCTCCACCTTTGTCGCCCATTCTTCTTCACGAAATCACAGATTCGAAGAATGTTATCGAAGCGTGCCCACTGAGGATCAAGTGGAAGACTTTTGCAGAAGGATGGCTAGGTACGTAACTATAATTTTTCGAATGTTAAGAAGTGCATTTTATTTGTTTCGTTGTAAATCTATTGCCATTGTAAAGAAATTTCCTTCCTAACACTCAACCTTTTGAATAAACAAATCGATTCATCTCGCTACGTTGAGTAGCCAGTGAGAGGACAGCAGTCAGCGCAGGGGAGTGGTGATATAGTTTGAGATGACCTTATGAATTACTTTTTCGCACCTCCGCATACTTGCCAGTGGGATAGCCCCGCTTAATTGCTTACGCTGACTGCTGACCTCTCATCAAGTTACTGACTATGAGTTAAGTGAATAAATATAAGTGAAGTTATATAGTTATGTAATTATAATAGTTATATAGAATGGAATTTTTGTAAACGGGAAAGGTGAGACGGGAACATGGATGATGGGTGGCAGGAAGTGATAACAGCTGACATGGGGTCTTAAAAAGGGAGGGTCACCAAGTTCATAACTTGCGCTGCAGCGGTGGAGCGTTGATTCCAAGAAGTGACATAGGGGGCTGGATATGAACTTCATTGGTGGGTGGCAGGAAGTGATATTAGCTGACAAGAGATGATAAGGGGTGTTAGGTGAGGGTCACCAAGTTCATAACGTGGGTTTCGGCATTGATGGGACGTTTAGTTCTAAGACATGATGTAGTGTATGGGTCATGAATATCACTTATGGGTGGCAGAACGCATCAAGGATTATTATGATCTGATAAGGGATTTGAAACTCAAGCGTCGCCCGTCACAGTATCAGTAGGAAGTTGGTTCCAATAAGTGATATAGTGGATGTGACGGGGTTATTACTGATGGGTCAAAGAGAGGGATAACAACTGATACGGGCAGATAAGAGGTGTTGCACTCTTTCACACTACCAATTCATAAAATTTTGTGGTAATGGATCACGGGGGACAAGGGATTATATCAACTGATAGGAGTAAATAAGAGGTGAGAGCTTATTTTCACCTAATTCTTTTACCACTATACTTCTAGGTTCACCGTATTTCAGGCTAAGTATACAGTACCTATTGTTTTACTGCACGTCCAACGGGAGGGGGAAGGGTTGTTCACGTGAGGTCTACAGCACAATCAAGAAAAGAATGGATGATAATTATACGAGAAAAGAGAAAAACTCAGCATTAATCATGATTTACTATGGTAAACATTTATCACGCCAGGAGCGCAGTAGTGTGCGCCAGCCAAACTGGTGTTTCAATAAACCAAGTAATGAGTTTTTTATTCATTCCATATCTCGTTATTCTGTCTTGAGTGAGCCTGGCAGTGAGAGGTCACCAGTCAGCGTAAGCAATTAAGCGGGGGTATCCCACTGGCAAGTATGCCGAGGTGCGAAAAAGTAATTATAAGGTCATCTCAAACTATATGCGCACACCCTCAGCGCAGGGGTGTAGGACTTTCTTAAAAGATCTCACTTCACACCTATCATGCCTCTCGGGGAGACTCGCCTGCGGTGTTGCCTGACTTAATTGCTCTCTCTCACTAACTCCTGACCTTTCCTCTACTTGACGATTACATCATGATGACTGATTATTTACTGCTGATTTTTTAGCAAATTTAATAGAATTAAGGACTACAATTGAAAAATTTGAATCACATGAAACAATCAAAGATGAAAAGCATGCTGAAATGAATTAAAATGAAAAACAAAAAATTGAAAATTAAATTAAATTCAATTAAATTAGGCTTAGATGGTAGTGTTAGTTACGAATCGGGATATTTTTCCTCAATATTTTTCTCCCATACATGCAATAAAAAGTGAACGAATGACTGGTGCCTACAATCCTGTAAATTATTACATCTCGTTTTCCATATTTGCTTACCTGTCGTTCGCCCATGTATTCCCGTGGTTGTGTTTCTGCTGGTGCTAAAAGGGAATCTGAAGATTGCTGGGAACCTGGAATGGAGGTATGTGCAATGAAATGAGCGAGTTGTGTGCTGATGTGGATATGACAATGAAGCCGGCGCATTAAGAGCAGGAAGCGGAGTTGAGCCGAAGTTCATCCCATCGAAATGTGTGGCGTCGAGGTGTGTGCTTCCAGTTAAAGCATAAAACGAGAACGGCATATGCATAGTAACTGCTCCCGAAGAACCGATGAGGCATATAGATGGGCATCAATGGAGTCCAATTACAGCGAGTTTTGGCGCAGAACACATTCAACCTTCGAAGTTATTACAGAGCCTAGAAGTTCAAATCATTTGGGATACCTTCCATGATGAAAACAATAGAAATTTTTTCAATACGTGCCCTTTTTCCCATTCAAATTGCAGTAATTTCATGTTGTGTACGTCTGCATTTCAGTTGCTCTAAGTGGTTAAATGTGTTCTTGACATTTTAAATTTATGAAAACATCTTTTTTCTGACATTTCCTACGTTTACTTTTTTTTTCCTTCTACTTTCCATGTTCAGTTTGGCTCAGTCGTGTCTGTAGAGGAGAGGTCAGGAGTTAGTGAGAGAGCAATTAAGTCAGGCAACACCGCAGGCGAGTCTCCCCGAGAGGCATGATAGGTGTGAAGTGAGATCTTTTAAGAACACCACACACCCCTACTCCAGCTAAGGTCCGCCACCCGTGCTCTGACGATCAGAATCATCCTGAAAAAGTCAACTCTACCTCAATTTTTGATCAAAATCCGGTCTGAAATTTGACTGATTATGCAGTAAAGGGTGAATAGCGCCAGCGATTACAGACAGGATGGAATAAATCGGATGTCTATGGAACAACGTATGGGGATGGCGAAAGGACAAAGACCATGAAATGCGAGTACGTTAAGCAGGTGGTGTCAGTGCTCTCATTTTATCTTCCTTTCTGCTTCCTGAGCAAAAACAAATTGTAAGTCTAATTGTCTGGGTTGATGGAATGAAACTCTTCTAAGTCTTTTATTTCTCGGCGACGTTTCGGGCCTTAAGCCCTTCTTCAGGCTACAAATATCACATATGTACAAAGCCTACACCAACAATCCTACTATTATACATACATCGCAAGATATTCGAAGAGGGAAGCAATCAATTAATTAACAACTGACCGACTTCCTACAGGGGTAGGGCCTGGGTTGGAGTGGGTCCGGGATGGAGTGGGTCGGGAGTTTGCTGCAAGATGGTTGAATGATGGACGAGAACAAGGAGTACGCGACATTGACTCACCTCCCCAGCTGTCCTTTCCTATAGAAATGAGACAGCTAGAAAGGCGAAGCAGTGGCAAGATGGTGATACACTGCTATTTGTCATATGTCACGTATCACCAGTGATGTCACATCATGGTGCAGCAATGAGCTCCATTGTCCTTCTTAACTCCTCCCTGTTGTTGATCGGTGGGTTCCTTCTTCGAATTTCCAACGCCTCCTTTATTTTCCTCTCCACCGGGTCACATATGTTCCTGTGGATTACGCGCACCCTGAGTTCAGGGGCACGTTCGTTCGTGTGGCGCGAGGAACGATGTCTCGAGAAGGGATTATCCGGATAGCTGGCTGGGTTCCGGAAAGCCCTTAGATGTTCATCAGCCTTTTGTAGAGTGGTCGTCCAGTTTCGCCGATGTAGAATTCCGAACATGACGCACACTCCACTTCGTAAATCACGTTGGCGAGTGATTCTGAAACGCATTGGGAAGGTGAAAAAACTCGACAATTGGGTGCCCCACAATCGGAGTGACCGGCAGGAATCGGCACGTCTCGAGGTTCCTTCTGCATTGCTTTTGCGCAGCAGAAACGACCTGTTTTGGGCCGAATTGTCACCTGTGATGAAAAATGGATCATGTATGATAACAGGAGAAGTTCTTGGATGCCGAGGAACAACCGAGGCAATTTCCAAAGCCGATTTCTCACGGAAAAAAGGTTATGATCACAGTGTGGTGGTCACTCGGCTGGTGTGATCCACTATATCTTTTTCTCACCAGGCCAAACCATCACAGCAGAGTCCTACTGTGAAGAAAGACGAAATGTACCGAAAATTGCGTCAGCTGCAGCCAGCACTTGTCAACAGAAAGGGTCCGATTCTTTTGCATGACAACGCCCGCCCACACGTTTCACAAATCACTATCCATAAATTGAACGAAGGGGTTGAAGTTCTACCTCAACCGCCATATTCTTCAGACCTTTCGCCAACCGACTATCACCTTTCAAACTTTCAAAACATCCTGCTGGAAATATTTCATCAGGACCAAAAAGCCTTCGTGGATTTCTGGATTCTAACCACCCAGATTTTTTCTATTGATGTGGATTTGGTTGATTGTTTTCACATTGCGGAGGATGCATCCGAACGGTGCCTTATTCGATTAAATCGATGTCGGTAGCAAGAAAGTCATGATCATTCAAGAAACACTCAACGCTGAGTAACTTTACTGACGACCAATAGTAAACCGTATCCTGGCGCCTTCTAGAAAGAATGCAGCAGCTGAAGTGTACCCGAAACAGAGCTGGTTTGAAGAGAGAAGCCCTCGACGCATCATTGGTTTGGCATCTTGGTTGACTTCGTACGCCCCCTCCTTTTTTGGGGGTGGTATGACCCCCCCCCAGGTTCGCTCATCGAGCTGTAAAAAATTGGAAACACGACTCGCTCTCCACATTTCTTAGGTTTTCTCCAACTTCCAATAATAATAATAATAATGCAAAATTCACAAATATAATTGTCAAGTCCTCACTTGTGTATTGTTCACGTATAAACGGCAGGCTATAATCAAAATAAACTTACATAATAATAATAATAATAAAACATTAATTCACAGTACAAATAATATAATAAAATCACAAATGCCATTGTTGCACATTTAACTAGTCAGCGCGTGTATGGTCAAAATTAAACTTATTATATAATAATACATATAAAATAATAATAATATAATGCACAATTTTACATAATCATATATCAAAAAAAAAAAAAAATAAAAAATTAATACAAAATTCACAAATGTATTGTTACATATAAACTCAGCGGACCGCTAGGGCGTTTAAAATCCGGTTTTATTCTATTGGTTGCTTGCGAACTTCTCGGTCCGGACATCATCCGTGGTTGATGCCGTCCCTATTCTCAGCAACTCTTTGGTCATTGCTCTTCAGCATAATTTGCCCGTCTTATGCTGGTTTTTCTCACGGCCCTTCAACGACTTTCTTATCAGTACTTATGGCAAGGTTCGTGAAACCAATCAATCAGCTAGTAAATGTTTGAAATACAATGAAAAACTCCAGTGGCTAATTAGAGCACCTTATTGAGGGACCAGAGCTAGGCTGGCATATCAATTGCTGAACGTTTGACAAATGGCGCGCTTACGACCCGCACGGTCGTGCCTTCAGATCCTAGGTTGACTCCGGCTCGGACCAACCAAGCCTTCTACCCTACGGGACGATGAATCGGTACCAGATCCGTC